CTACGACCCCGGGAGTGAAATATTCTCCCAGAGCCAAGTTCAGTCAAATTTCGCAAAACCGAACAAGTTGGCCCTCGAGGCAATGATTCAAATTACTCCACCACGTCAAATTTTCACTCCCAAAGAGATCGAATCCTACCTAAGCCTCATCAAGTCTACAAGTTGTTGGAAATGGAGACACGGAGTGTTGTGGACGTATGGGCCCTCCATTTCGTCTAGGTTCCCGACACGATCTCGTGTGTATTTAAGAGGTTGGAACAGGTAATATGGTAGCGCTTCAGGCTACCTATTGGACATATGAGCGGCTGTATGGCGTGGGCGCAAGGAGGTTATTGGGGTTTTTCTATGCCTAGATGGCGCCACACTTGTTTATGCTGTGGCTTAGGCTCTGTGTCGCTTACACTTGTACTTGTAGCGCACACTTCCCACACTTTTAGCCGTAATCCGAACATGACACTCTTTTAGTCAACTTCTACTTTAGTTCCATGAATATTGCGCCCATTACATTGCGCAATATTTCCAACACAAGTACGACCTAGTACATCCTCATTCCAATGACCACACCTCTCGTCGACTTTCTCTGGCCTCAGCCGGTCACCAAATACACGCCCACGCCGATATTTATACCCGACGGAGGAAGCAAAGCATGGAGCACAAATCTGGGAGATAGCTCTTTGGGATGGACGTGAGAGGGATCAGGACAAGTTCACAAGATTATACAAAAGAAGGATACAATCTCGAAGGGTGTGAGATTACGAATTTTGGCAAGGAGTTTTACGAATTAGGCTCTGTGCGCGCCAAGACTTCGCTTGCGAGAGTACAGCTGACACTATAAAAATAAGCCAACGATGGAAGGTGTTGTGATCCGCCTCCTGGTGGTGTTCTCTGGTATGGTTTGAGTAGCCTGGGCACCTACTCCACTTGGGAAGGAGACATCTCAGATTACATTTCGCGCGGAGAAAAGTTGATGGATGACGGAGGCATGTCTGGATAACTCAGGGTTTTTGAGACGTTCCCCTGGGTGGGTATTCACGGATGAGGGTTGACTTGGGGTGAAGAAAAAGCCGCCATAACTTCGCAGTGGTACTTGCAAATGAAATCCGAGGCATAAGTGCTCCTCTTGTAAATTGAGTCATCTTTTCTGTACTTTTCTTTGATATTGTGTCATAGCTAGATAGCTGCATACGCAATTAAAATCTGATGCAAAAGAAAAAAAAAAACTCCAGTTATAACTAAACAAGGCGCTAGTCTGTAACACTCATGTCCTCTCTAAGTTTACGGGTCAGAGTATCGTATCTCCGACAGCGTGTAAAGTAGGTAGGCATCCTTTCTAGCACATAGCTACAGACCAGATTTACATCTTCATACTTGAAGCGACGGTAATACGCCGCAAAATCCCCATGCCCAGTTCTCGCATCAATGAGTCAGTGGGTGAGTGAGTGAGTGTTTATTGTCCTAATGGGTCTACAACTATGTAAGGACATATAGGTCCTTTCTGCCTACAAGCCGGTAGTATCTGTGCCTCCCTCACGACTTCTTTCCAGTGGTAATACCCCCACAGGTCTTCATTCAAGTACACACTAAGAGGAGCCGTTATCCTATCATTATCTCCCCTTTCCAGTCAACGAAATGATGGCCATTTGCGGGTGTGTAGCTGCAGAGAAATTTCTCAAAAACCACTTGGTGCGAGGCTCTCCTATGACGAAGATACCGGCCGGCCGGGCGCAGTAGACCTATATATATGTTGACGGCTAAGAATAACCACTGAAGAAGTTTGACAGGGAAATATCTCGGGTCAAAAATAGGAACTGTCCATACGTACGTAGGTTGTTTGTTTCGGCCAGTGCTTGCATTCTGTATTTAGAACTGCAGATTATTCTATTCCTAGCGCATGTCTATATTTAGAGATCAAGTCAATCATGATCAGTGTATATAGTCCTAGAGTGTGTGTGTTTGTGTTTATTGCACTACTTGAGTCTATGATTATCTAGCACATTGGGCTCCGCTCTGACCCAGGCCACACCTTGTACAGTGCTCCTAACCTCTTTTGTTACTCGAAAGATCATTGATATCTTGCCTATGATGAATAGCCATTCAGCTCAGTGTTTACCCATGGAATTTGGCCAACTTTTCCACGGAACCTTCTACCCAAAAAAAATAAAAATGGTAGCAATGGAAACTGCGTGCGCGGGAAAATTTCTCAAAAAACCTGCAGCCCCAGCCAGGCGAGCCCTAGACACCGGGACTACATGAGGTGCGCACATTCATCTATATCTCCCTTCTTTGTAACAGTCGAGGTCGACTTGATCCAATCCACCATCTCCGTATCGGGTGCTGGGAACGCTCCGGAAACTCATCGGATGGCATCTCCTCCGTGATCAAGGGTTGATGATGAGGAGGGCTCCGACCCTACCATCTAATCTGATCGTGGTTGGCTTCATGATAATGGTGATTGGGGAGTGTGTTGAGAGATGAAGACAATACAGACCGCGAAAGCGATTGGGGATCCTCAGCGAAGTGAGGACTTTGTCATTCAATTTCGGCTCTGCAGACTCTACAGTGAGAGCTGGAGGTTCGTAGGGGACACCACTGACAGGTGTTGAGAATAGTCCCCCATATAGTCCTAGAATTCCGGGAGGAATAGGAATCAAGTTGTTTTTACTGAGTTATCTTTTACTTTAATTACATACTTCGCCTGTCACAGTTCAGGCTCCCAGTTACCTGACAGTATACCTAAAAGCATCTCTCAAATTTCATAGCCTCCTCCTTACTCGTCCCTTGATTCATACCGCAGGACAAACCGAAGGTCGTAAAAGGATGTCAGAAAAGTCTTGGTCGAGAGTGACTGTCGTGAAGGAGCCTGGCCCAGTATCCAAAAATCGTTACAGACGTAGGGTTGTCGAGTAACTCGTGTATTTCAGATGCCCTCCTGGATAGTGGACTCGAAGTTAAGATTCGTGGGGATGATATTGTAAACGAGTCGAAATCTGCTATTCTTGAGGGCGGAAGGGCCTTTTACTTTGCTTTCGTGGGCTTTTTGTTTGCCTGCCGGTGGGTATCACATATTGTGATATAACGAGGGCTTCTCTTACTACCATTATGGCGTTTGGTACCACATTATCTTTCCTCATTCCCAGCATCATTATTGTCGACTTAGTCGTGGGTGTTATTATATAATAATAATTATTCATTATCCTAGTTTGGCGCCTTGAGACCCATGCAGGTTTTTATCAGAAGATATTTGCCTCGGGTAGGATGACTCAATTTGACCTTTTGAACACTAACAATTAGATTTCATTTGCAGATACCACTCGAGGTCAACCATTTAACGTCAAAAGAGTCATCCAACATGTATACATAGCACCGGTCATTTGTCATAGCTCTATAGCTGAATACACTTAAATGATTTCAAAAAAAAAGAGGTCAAACCTTATGACGTGTAGCCTCCTCCGTGCACATCCAGCACAGGGAAAAACGTGAAAAACCTGTGGCTATCCGAGTGTGCACTCATACTCCCACAATAATAATATCACTGCGAGAGAGAGAGAGATGCGTGGGTTTTACAGGACTCAGTATAACCCATGTCTCGAATGGGGTGGGTGTTCAAGCTACCCAGTATCTACTTGGGAGAATGGCCCGGATGGTGTACTACAGCACTGCACGGGCATTCACTGCTTGATCGTGGTGTTAGCGAATACTGTGACGCGTGGTAATCACGGGCGGTGCATGATCAATGTGCGAACTGGCCTAAAAGGGCATGATTTAGTTCTTTGAATTTGTCAGCTATCTTACTATATATTGTAGACTTGTGAGCTCACACAGAGCGTCACGATTGTAACGGCTAGTGAGCCGATAATTGTCCTGTGTCACGTGATGTTAATCACCTGCCTCAACAATTCTGTGAAAGGCGAAACTTCACTCTAGTTTATTCTGAACATGACTAGAGGATTCTAGCAACTGGCATCGAGACTGTGAACTGGTATCAGGGAAACATAACAGAGGCTAGTATCAGACAGGAAGGAATATTCTAGATAGCCTAATAAGTGTATAAATAGTTGAGTTAGGACACTCATATTGTGGTATAGAAAATAATAAACAACCTTCGTATATTTGATCGCCCCAGCATCTATACCTCGAACTGTGACAACAATGGCCAGGATTACGATGCACAAGGGTAATGATCACTGAGGGTGAAGGAAGAACTTTCCAGGTGGTTCCATAATGAGTAAATGAATAACGGAGCACTGTATAGAAAGTTTTTCTAGTTGACACTACCAGATGGAGGATACTGGAATATTCCGTGATACTGTTTTGGGTAAATAAGGCAAGAGTCTAGCTACCTTAGATGTAAATATAAGTAGCACTTTCTACCTCCCATATCCTCATAGTTCTGAATTGAAAAGGTGTTAATCAATCTCGGCTCTGCAGACTCTACAGTGAGAGCTGGAGATTCGTAGGGGACACCACTGACAGGTGTTGAGAATTGTCCCCTATGAAATCGACGACTTCTGCACAACAGATCAAAAAAATGCGGGTGCGCATAATTGCAATTATTCACGAGTCATTTTACTCATAGTTTCAACATCCAATATAGCAGGGCATGATCAGAGCTCACGAATCAATCAAAAATAGCAATGCCGGAAATGAGTCAAAGGATCAACTATTACGAAATCAGCAATATTTTTTAATACGAACTCTTTCGCTAAATCAATAAGATTAGCTACACGCAAGGGAAATCCTCCATGTCTTGAAATGTGCATAGCGCAGGCAAGAGACTCCGCCAAAGACTTGGGCCAAGGAATGGTTACAGAGTGATTAAGAGGTTCAACGCGGCTAAATCTAGGTTCCTTCCAAATTAAATGGCACAGAATTTCGGTCGAAAGGTAGTAGAGATAGACATATAAATACGTAGGCCCTCGCTCCAACAATGTCAAATACAGTGCAAGTTTCTTCCTTGGATTACCCGATAGATCTCACTTCAAGTAAATCAAACAATCATAATGCGCTTTTCTAAGTTTGCCACAATCCTTCAAGGCGCCAGCCTCTTTGTGGCAACCTGTGCTAGCTTTAAGATAGCTCACGTATCTTCGGAATCTAAAAGTTTCAATTGTCTGGGGCGCAGATTTACGGAAGCTGATTTTTCAGATGAAATAGACCGTGCAAACAGACAGATAGCAGCGGGCAACATGATTCGTAAAGCAGCAAATATAATTGAATATGAAATCAGAAGGGACGGAGAAAGGAACACGATATTGTATAGTGATGGAGAAACAACTGACTTTTATTTATATCGGCTTTCTGGGCACAAGTCCGGTGAGCCCCACAACCTCTTTACAGCTATATGAGACGGCTAATCTTTTACTGAAGTTAAAAATGAAAACGGCTATGCATATCATATCGGGTATTCCATCTTAATTGATAACTGCTATCGCGTTTCTGCCATGATGAGTAATGAGGAATGGGTCGCATTAGACGAAAACGCGGCAGCGAATAGACAAGGAAAAATCGGAAGACAATCATTTTGCACCATCAATACCTAAGGTATATCGACACACAAGATAAATAATGCTGGAAGTTCGTCATTTAATATACAAGTCAAGCGGGATCTCCACATTCTTGTAGATATTTGGGAAATAGGGGCCGGAGTAGATAACACAAAGGGCCATTCATTGTACGAACATATTTCCTGCCAACACTTCATCCAGATGTGTAATTATGCTGAATGTTACAGTCCAGAGAAACTGACATGTGTGCGCTGAAGCGAGAATGCTACTTAAGTCTCGGTCACCATTTTCCGAATCTTTGGCATTTTTTCAACCTTTTATTCGTCATTTTCTCTAGATCACATTTCTGCCTTTTCCACGAACTCCTCATTATCCCAGTATCATTTTTTTAATGGAAGATATTGTCCGATGGCCACCGAGGACTCTAGGGGGCTATTGACGATTTCTTCGTCCATCATATTTTCTACTCTTTCTTTCGCTCAAAACTCCGATCTCGAAAATTGAGATGCGTCATTGTATTGAGACAAGGTACATATTTTATTCGTGGCATTTATCTACAGCTGCGATTGTCCACAATTTTTGTAGTCATGTAACCCAACTCGACTAGTGGAATTCATAGCTGAGTGAGCTTATTGAGATCTTTTTTTTAATTCAAAATGTATTCAGTTTTCTATCTATGACATATTTACAATATTCTCCTCCTAATTAATCACTCTACACTTCAATCTAAGTAAAAAATTCCCCGATTATATGTACTAATCTAACTCTCTTTTTGTGCTGCCATGTTCTTGGACATATCCAAGTGATTGAATAATGCCTCCTTCCCCATTTTGGTACAAAACAAGTTCGTAAATTTTATTGGCTCTTTGCCCTGAAAGCATCTGCTCCTTTGGCCACTGAATTTTTGACAGTATATCAACATGTGCTGCGCATTTTGTTTTCTTTTGCCACGAAAATTACAAATGTTATCATTTGCTTTCCCTACCATGTGCAGATAGACCCTTGTGTTAGCTATTCCAAGGCTTGCCTGAAAGAACCCGGATTCTACCTCCCTGCTATGTCCTTGAAATCCAAGTAATTTGCAAGAAAAGTTGGGATGGTCAGTTCAAGCCTGGAGTCTATAATACTTGCTGAGTCATCTAATCTCTCGATCTTCTCAGGCCAGAGCTCCAAGTGTTGGAAATCTAGACTCAGTGTGTATGAAGGTTTAGATTTCTGGGTATGAGTATTAAGATCAATTGGATTGATTCGATTGCATTTGGTTAGGCTCAGCTAGGCGACTTGAGGTTTAGTGATATCTGAAATGCAGTGGCTATGGAATGCTACCGTGACGGAAACCGAGTTGGCAATGAATAAGTCGATTTATTAAACTATATGAGGAGAAAAGAGAGCTCCAGCTACGACTAACAGGTATTTATAAAAATTGGTCCCCTTCGTCAATCTCCAGACTGATGCCTTATCCTTGGGCACAATACTTGCTACGCAGCCACGCATTGCCAGGTGTTACTTAGTTGTAGTAACGCTTCGACCTCCTGACTAGTAGTGCCGCCTAGTTGTAAATATTCCCAACAATCCGCTAAGGTATTCACCTAAGCTCAAATAACGGTCAAACCGTAACAGTCTAACACCAATTCTTGATCTCTTTTCCATGCTTCAAGAACCCGAAATCTAGTCTTCTGCTTGATGAATGAGTGAGAGGTATATCGATCCCTTTTCATTGCTTGTTTCTTCCCACCTCCTCTAGCCAGTCTATCGGCCAACTCTTTTCCTTCTATGCCAACGTGTGCTGGACGACATTGGAGATGAGCCGTGCATCCTCGATTTATCATTCTAATCTCGTGAGAGAATTGATTGCTTCTTTGTTGGATTCGAAGATTGCCAGCCTGGCTATCAGTGAAATTATTATTAGAATATTATCGTGTAATTGATGATACTAGAATGATATGAATAATGATCCTGATAATATTCGATTGATTGCTTGCTTATTGTTTCTTTTATCTGAACATGAAGATATCGCTATATCAAATACAAGTCTCGTGTGTTAGCCTTTATCCCACATGACTACGCCAGTACTACTTGATCGTAAACTGAGACTTATTGACTCAGTTACATCTCCCATTGCCCACCTATCACTACACCCTAGCTTCACAACTATGACACTGTGCTAAGTATATATGATACTCATTGGCTGCGACTTCGTGACCCGGATGCTTTACCAAAGCATATACGACTCTGCCTCAAACTCGTCATACGTGGTGGTTTGCCGCCCCTGCCAAGGCACCTGTCATAGACCTTCTTTTATTTCTCTAGTTTAAAGTCCTATGCGGTATCTCTATAAAGATCCATGAAGACGGTAAGCCGCTTTGGTAAGGGCAAAAGCTTTCCACAAACAAAACCCGATATCCTGCCCCTCTGAACCGACCCGGCTCAATGCTAAGGACGTTCCTTTCATCCACAAATTTATAAACTTTCCCCGAAATTCATTAACTCCCCCCTCCATCAGACTAACGTTATGAAAAATTATATGAAGAAGAAGACATCTCCTGACTCGGCGTTGGTCTTCGAAGTGTTCGAAGAGTTGGCCCCGATGGTGGTGCTACTGTCGAGGCGATGGCTGGTGTCGCTGGGGATTCGACTGCCTTGCGTGGTCGTCCCGGCCCTCTTTTGAGTCCTTCAGCCTTGTTACTGGTGAACAAAGTGAATCCTTGATCATCAGTCGTTCCGACTGTTCGTATTGGCGCCATTGTTGGTTTTTCATTCCATATTTCCGCCGTTCTTGACAACAGCTCCATCCGAGCCTTCTCCACACTTCCCTTGTAGACCTGGTAGGTCCGACACGCTGCTTTCTGCCACGAACGGTGTTCCTTGCCGCAGTTCGCACAAGAAACCCTTTTCCTAGGGCAGTCCCGAGTTTGGTGAGCGCCAGTGCACTCACCGCACCTGGCTGCCTTTCCACACGACGCCTGCGTGTGTCCCCACTGGCTGAAGTTATCACACTGCTTTGGCTGGGCCTGTGGTGACTACACCTGCGCAATGAAGAGCATGGCGTTAATTACAAGGCCTATCGAACTACCTTCGTTTGCATTGTCTCCGACGGGAGGCTGAGCATAATTGTTCCGCAATTGCGCCCGTTTTTCTTCGATCGCTAGTGTTCTTTTCCGTCATGGAGCCATCGTATTCTACTTGTCACTAGGCCTTAAATTCTTGCCTTCGTCGCAGTCTCAATCTCCCTGATGATGGCGTAGTTGTTGGCATCTCTGCCACCTTCAATTCTTGTCCGAAGTGGGACTCTGGAAAGTATTGCCGCAAGATTTTAAATTCCGCTGGTTGTTGCATGTTAAGCGCCGCGTCTCTCTGTGACGTCGACTGGACAAACACCTTGGTGATGTTGCTTAGCATCTGCTGAATTGCAAATGCGCCTTGGATGTGTTGTTGTGCCTTGGATAGCAGCTCTTGTGGCTGCAAGTTTTGGGCGCCATCGATTCTTATCCGCACCGCTGTTTTTGTCATTTGCGGAGCCACGATCGACGCGTAACTCCTTGGTGATAGCGCGCTCGAAACCACTGCAGGAGCAGCTTTCCGAGCAACATCCGCGAGGAATTTCTTTACGACTTCCTCTAGCGCCATCATTCTCTCCTCAATTGGAGACTCCTTCTGGGACATTTCCATCCAGGCCCTTTTTTGTGCGTTGAAGGCCTTCACGGCCTCGTTAACGTCCTCCATTGTGGGTAGGTCCTCCTCATCCATCTCCCCCATCACGATAAGTCTTACCAGTTTAAGTATTTTCCCCAGGATTTCAAGGTTTTTATCCTTTGGAGCTATCTGAGCTCCGCTGCCGTTGTTATTTGAGGCCGTTGTCGCAAATTGCGACGCGTCAAAGCCGCTGGATTTACCCACACTAGCACTCACGCTCGCCATGTTGGAGCATGGAAAGCAAAAAGGTGAGATGAGGGTAATGAAGATGAATAGATTATAATCACTATGTCAAATTGATGATACGAGCAGCGTGGAAGGCTGCGCAGCTTTCTGGCAAAAATGATGTTTTTCCGATGTATTGTCATAGACCTTTCTTTTCATGTTGTATTCAGCTTTTTAGCTATGACAATTTCATAGACCTTATATCTGTCGTAAACAGACATTTACAAGTCATGCTTACGATCTTCATGGCAAGTATGAATGGCATTGTCAGCAATATATTTGTCCACATATTTTGCTACCCTCAAGATGCAGTAGGTCTCTACATCTGTGGTACCCATAGTATCACCAAGATTGTATGACAAGCATTTAATCTCTCTGGTGACAGTCAGGTATACCACAAAGCCTATGCTACTGCTAGCTGTCTCTGAAAGCAATGCATTAGTATAAACTATGACATGAGGAATTTTGTTTATATGCTGGATGGGGCATAGTTCAGTTGCTTCCTTTGGGTAACTTGTAATAATGGTGTGTATATGTCTCAATGAGCTTACTCCCAACGTTCCGTAGGGCACGAAGGGATATTGAGTATGATTATAGGACAGCAGTGAAGTGGTCCAATATGTGTACCATATGTAAGAAGATGCTGCGTGAAGAGAGAACGATCCCACGCCAACTAGACTATATACAGGATATTATCACTAGCGCTTTAGCACGGGAGGCGATGTGGTCACTGCTTGTTTACAACCAGACCACCTTTACATTTCTAGACCCTTGCATCCACACTTACAGCCTAACTTACCAAGATCCAGCACTACCCTAATAGCCTATTGTTACATAGACTGCGTCGAAAGTAAAACAAATTATCACCTACTGCTTTTCCATCGAAATATGAGATTATGCCACAGTGGAACCCAGAGGTCATTAATCTGCTCCAGCTTTTTCAGGCAAGCCAATAGCTTTTGAGTGCTTCCAATTCTCATCAACTGAGTCTGGTTTCTAGATGTATTTAAGTAGTATTAGGTCAATCTGGTTATTGCTTGCCAGTTCGTCTACCATGGGGCTAAACAAATGTTTCCGGATTGGGTTGTTCCTTTGAAGTCGAAGAATTCTTAGTCCATAGTAGACTACCTGCTTCTAGTGTCGAACTTTTACTGGCGAGATTGAGCCCTTCAACCTTTAGAATCTTTACAGGGCTGCTGCGATGGGCCTCAGTGACTAATGGCAAAGCCTAATTCTGAAGCCTTTGATATCTGTTGGTTAGTATTCCACTACGCCTCTTACCTTGCCAGGTAGCTGAGCCTTGATCAAGTACGGAAGTGACTCAGGCCAGGTAAATTTGTCAAAGGGCGTATCACGGTTCGAGTGTCGATGCGGGAGCAATCAGATATACGAAGGTAGTTTACTATTTTCTCTGTGCCTAGCTATACAAGTCCTACTTCAACGATTTATACACTTACCATCTGGAATATTCTTCTCGCCTGTAACCAGTTTCTAGTAGGTTCCCCTGAGGCTGATTTGCAGTCCTACTACTAGTCACTAGAAATTTCTAGTGACATCCCGATTGATCTATGTTTGTTTTCTATTTTTCGTCCCTAGGGCCGCCAAGCTTGACTTAGGTCCCTACTACCCACTAAACTACCTAGAGGCATGGACGCCAGTGCTTACTGCCCTGGTGGCTTCGTCCTTGCTTCTTCCTAACTAGGTTTGCAGGGCAATTCTCTGATTACATGATTGCATGTAGCGTAGCACCTACACTTTTACATCCAGTCCCCAAGGCTCATTACTTTTTGATGTAGTACTGCCACTATTGGGATGCTACTAATAGATCCATTCAGAAATACCGCACCATCCATCCACAATGCAAGGCTCAAAGCTGAAAGAGTTAAGACCTATTTATTTATTCTCTGGGATTTCTAGGGAAGGTCGGGGGTCTATTTTCAACACCTGTCAGTGGTGTCCCCTACGAACCTCCAGCCATCACTGTAGAGTCTGCAGAGCCGAAATTGAATGACAAAGTCCTCACTTCGCTGAGGATCCCCAATCGCTTTCGCGGTCTGTATTGTCTTCATCTCTCAACACACTCCCCAATCACCATTATCATGAAGCCAACCACGATCAGATTAGATGGTAGGGTCGGAGCCCTCCTCATCATCAACCCTTGATCACGGAGGAGATGCCATCCGATGAGTTTCCGGAGCGTTCCCAGCACCCGATACGGAGATGGTGGATTGGATCAAGTCGACCTCGACTGTTACAAAGAAGGGAGATATAGATGAATGTGCGCACCTCATGTAGTCCCGGTGTCTAGGGCTCGCCTGGCTGGGGCTACAGGTTTTTTGAGACTTTTTCCCGCGCACGCAGTTTCCACTGCTACCATTTTTCAACTTTTTATTTTTGGGAGGAAAGTTCCGTGGAAAAGGTGGCCGAATTCCACGGGTAAACACTGAGCTGAATGGCTATTCATCATAGGCAAGATATCAATGATCTTTCAAGGAAAATAAGAGGACAGGAGCATGGTACAAGGTGTGGCCTCGGTTCGAGAGGAGCCCAATATGCTAGATAGTCATAGACACAAGTAGTACAATAAAATCACACACTCACTCAGAGATTCCAGGGCAGGTCTTTATGTAAAGCTCCGAAAGAGAAAGCCACTTTGCTACATGTAGGACCCCTTCCCAGGTTCCTAGCAAAAATTTCTTTGGGTCCCTTGAAGATGCTGGAGCTCGAGGGGGTCTATGGGTGGTATGGTGGCACTCTAGGAAGTGGAATGGGGCTTTGAGCTGTCCGCAGCCACAATAAAGGTTGGCGCCCTCGTGATTGAAACGGCGGTGGTATTTTGCAAAGTTACCATGTCCTGAGCGGGCAGCGTATAGTCTGGAGAGAAACGGTCTAGCTAGTAAGAGTTCCTTAAGATGACGAGAGTATGAGTCGATGGAAAGCTCCCTATAGGAGACTGGGGCATGTCGGTCCCAGTGGTCTTTCATAGCCGTCGATACTTCTGCTTTGATGCGATATTTCGCGGTATCAAAAGAAACGTACCCACGAGGTATAGGCGGGGGTTTTGAAAGCTCCTCCCGGGCAGAGGCGTCGGCCAAAACGTCACCCAATATGCCAGAGTGGCTTGGGTTCCAATAAGCATTGACTTTCCCGGGAGGGATGTGTGGGAGCCGGGTGCGAAGAGGCCAGTCTTGAGAGACAGTATGGGCCTGTAAGCTGAAGTTTGTTATTTTACGCCCGGCGGACGCCGAGCCGAGGCTCAGCGCTCTGATAGCTATGTAATACAAGAAGTGATGTGCAGTGGCAGAGATCATGAAAATACAATTAGAGACTGCGAGCGCTATGCAGCGGGTACCTCACAAGAATGGCTCATATATTACGGAATGGGCAGATTTCCGATGTGAAACTAATCTTCTCCAAGATGGTGGCGAAACGCTTAGCTCCTAGGGAGGTGCTTAGGAGAAAATCGAGTGAGCTCATACTTCGTCCATGACCGGACGAAGCCAGTCTCTCTCGCACAATGGGGCAAAAAACTAAATGAGTGATTGACTTGTTAGCCCCGCAGGAACAAGTCAGAAGGGCATCAAGATGATGAGACCTTTCGTGAAAAGCACGAAAGTTACCGCGTCCAGTGCAACAGTGGATTAAATACCCGAGAAATCGGGGAGGGAGTCGAAGTTCCTCAGGAGGCTTCTTGGGAAATGGCATCCCTATTTCACAACAGGTAGAGGGAGCATGAGATTTCCACCATGCTGTGGTCAGGTCCTATATTTGTCTTGGTATCTTTGCGCGAACTCCGGAAAGGGATGCGGCAGGGGGAGCTCATTATCTGGAATGCCTATATAACTGGGACCCCGCAGGTCAAAACTGAGCGCCTATACGCGGTGTCCTCTACGAACCTGGGGGTGAAATGTTCTCCCAGAGCCAAGTTCAGTCAAATCTCGCGATATCAAAGAAGTTGGTCCACGGGGCATTGATTCAAATTACTCCATCACGTCGTTTTTGAGAAATTCCCCTGGGTGGGTATTCAAGGATGAGGGTTGACTTGGGGTGAAGAAAAAGACACCATAACTTCGCAGTGGTAATTGCAAATGAAATCCGAGGCATTAGTGCCCTTTTTGTAAATTGAGTCATCTACTTTGCACTTCTCTGATAATGTGTCATAGCTAGATAGCTGCACACGCAATTAAAATCTCATGCAAAAAAAACCGGGAGATATTTTAGGAGTCGACTAACTTGGGCCCCCTAAATAGAAAAAAACCCTTCCATAAGTTGAGGAGATGTGGCAGGTAGGAAAGGGCTAATTTAGGGACACAATGGCTTCCGCACAGCATAGCGGAGACTAAAGCTGGGGAATCCTGAATTTAGGCGCCGTCGCAATACATTCTCTAGACTGTCAGACTCGAAACGTATATGAAGTTTAGGTTGGTCTGTTTATCTAATTGATACGAGTATTATAGCTCAACAGGAGTGAAACTCTCCCAGCTCGGTCCCCATCGCATTAAAGATCAAGGAATTTAGATGATGTCGATTTACTAAGATGCTAAGGTTCAAAAAGACTAATGAAATGATGTTGATAAATCTGAGAGATATCTTCTTCGCAACAGTAAATCCCATCATCTGAGCTATTCCATATTATTGGTCCTTTGCATGCACATCAATGTTGGGTATTCAAATGAACAAGGGGGAAAAGTCGCAGATTCTAGTCACTAAACCTGAAATTGGGCGACTCAAATGATACTGCTATTGTAACCAATCAAAGAAGTGCCTCGCGAAGCCATTTTCACACTAAAGAGACGCCGCTAGTATTTTTATGAGCTTGAGAATGACGATACTGATTCTATGTGGAAGAACGTGATCAGACAACTGTCTTTGTTCACAAGCATATAATTTCCGTAGTAGAAGCGCTAGGGATATTATGCGAAGCCTTGGAGTCTGAAGTAACTGATTGTCAGGGGGCCCATAAGGCACCTGCTAAAATGAATAAGCCGTAACAGAATGCAGGTGTTTGAAACAATGTGGCTCGATGATAATTGCGAAATTTGGCGTTAAATGTTTGCGAATAAACAGATAATTGTGCAAGGATGGCAGGCTCATACCACCGGCGGTGAAGATTTTCGAGCTCGCAAGATTCAAGTAAAGAAGGAGCATCAGAGTAAGTATGTTAATTGGTTTACTTAGTGATATCATAGAGCCCGTCATGCCATGTGATCATAATCACAGTCACTTAAATCTCTCGTGCGGAGGTGTTTCTGTTCCATACTTTACCTCGCATCTCAATCATTTAAACTCAAAGCTTTCCTCTGCAGATCAGTGAACATTAACGGACAAGGGTAACGATGAAACGAAAACGCACGATCCGACAGGACATATTCGTTGGCAAGCAAATGTTTGATGAGTTGTCAAGGTATTCGTCGCGAAAAATGATATGCAAAGATCCGTTGGCATCCAGGTCCAGATGAATCGGAACTACTGTGACCCACTCCTTGTCAAAATCTCTAATCGATTTGTTCCGCACATGTACAAGGGGATTTCATCCCAACTTCTCAAATCCCCTTACCGCTCGAGCTATCCCGACAGATGTTTCAAACCTTGCATCTCCACATTAAAACCAGCCTTATGTGGTTAACACAGAGCCCAATCAGTGTGAAGATTGGCACATGAAGCTAAGGCAGCAGGATTCGAAGTAAATGCAACTTGCAAATAATCGACTTCAGCACGAAAGTAATGGACCCTTTTTTGTCTCAGACCCTTGAATACACATGCACTAACATTTCTCAAGGAAAAGAATTTGCTGCAAAGATACCCAGCGCAGAAAGTAGACGTACTGGGAACATGTTTAAATCATTACATTAAAATCGTCGCCTGACATTAATTACAATTTAATTTGATTGTTGCTGTTCCAGAGATCTGTTCAACATCTAATATATCACGCGCAATCTCGATATGCCAGTAACAAACTAACATATTGGATTACATCATTGCAACGGGACCACAGCAAGACCACAGCGAATGGCGGTATAAGCTTTGTTCTAGAAGATTAAGCCAGAGCAAGACTATTAGCTGCAACAGCTCCAAAACCCTAGTCCAGCCCCGCTGATCAGATAGATCGTCAGACTCTGACGCTGTGTGGGTCTATAGCTATAGTGTTCTTAACTGAAACCTGAGGCGGGTAGCTCCAAGCACCTGCGAACTCATTCGTCGGGATTATCAGCAAAATGTGCGACTGGATTCCCATTCTACCAGGCTATGAGCCGGAAAATACTAAATCTAGATCAAGAATTTAATGAGGGCTCAGCTGCTTGATATATATCTGGAATATTCATGTATGCCGGATCAACTTTTACATCTGTTGATCAAGGGGGACACTCTCGAAAAGTACTTCGAACCTCACCAAGACCACCCGCAGAATGTGTCAAATAAACGCCCTGACTAATAATACATTCTGCTAAACATTTTTGGACATCCTTGTGGGATCCATATTTATGTTTATCGACTCTAGCAAGGTCTTAGAGGTGAGACTTGCTTGTGAGTGTACTAAATGCCAGATATAAAGAAAGCTTTACTTTCCAACCACATTTTGGCCCTACCACACTTTTATCCAATTCTTGTAATATATCTGAGAAATTCTCTGATCTGCGATCGAATCTTCTCAGTATTTTCAGACTATCTAGACGCCAGTCCCGAATTATTTGGTTGCTATTATCATCTTTCTACCGGATAGAATTTATTTTTGGGTCTCTTTTAGACTTATTGAAACTTCTACAGTTTTTTGGCACATCGAGATTCGATAATTCCAACACAAATATGTTAACGTCATTCAGCCATGCAATTCTATTTTTGGGAGTGGTCATGCATGCGGCGGCCAACAGTGTAAATTTCGTGAATCAAGATGGCACCACCCGCACTATTATCTTTACATCTCAGAGTGGGCAACAACAACTTAATTCTATCAAAGTGGCGGGAAATTCCGCCATACAACAAGAATTTCCCCAAGGCTGGATTGGAAACTGGTACTCAGTATCGGAAGGTTCACCGAATGTGCCCGGTATGCTCGGTGAGGTTCGTTTTGATGGCTTCGGAGGGGCCACATACTTTGACGTGTCAGCTATTGTCAACCCCACCGATAATTCTGGCGTCAAGCAGCTGTTTCCAGCACATGACAACAAACCGGTCTCAGGCTGTCAAAACTTTCCTTGCGCTAACGCATATAATAAAGCCGATGACTTGCAAACTGCCAGTACACCTTTTAAAGACCTGATTTGCTTGTTGGGCAATTCGATGAACCCACGCCGGCGTGGCTTTTTTGGTGGATAGTCTAACTGAGGTGATAAAATCAGACTTGAGATATTTGATAAGCTGATTGACGATGAAGAGGCTATTCTTTGGAAGATTCTTTCTCGCGACGTATACTGCACCCTCGCCCTCCTTTGTCTTCATACTAAATTGATTAGAGACATTCTATACAAACGGAGAAATTATGTTAAGAAGTTCCCATATGCAGGTATAGTAAGAATTTGGTATCTCCGCTGGACAAGAATATCTTGAAGCAATAGAATGCGAAGTGTTACTGAGTAACACAAGTCTCCTGGAATGAACATAATTGGGCGTCGATTATTAAATGATTTTGTTTATTTGCAACTAACCAGCTACGAGACATCACCATTCTTAGTGTATATATTATAAAACTCTTAAATTTTAAAGGCACTCATACTCTGGTGAAGATTGGCAGCTACTAACTTGAGATATGTTCACTTATAGACAACCCTCCATAAATACCCATCAAGAGAATTTTCAAAACCTTTGAATATCCAAGCATACCAGCACCTCGAGAAATTTGGAGGAGTATCACCGGATTTGAATTAGCGATTTCCTATCTCAATTAGGATATGGTTCCAGGCCATGCGGAATCTACTTTGGATACCTGCCAGATGATGTACCACCACATGATCCATCAAATGGCAGTGTCTACGGTGTCTACAGTGTCGCCTGCACTCTCATAATCGAAGTTTTAGCGCACATGAAGCTTAACTTGCAAAAATCCTCCGCCAAAGTTCGAAATTTCACGCCCGTCAAGATTGTATCCATTGTTAGCGTTATCTTGTGAACTTGTCGAGATCTCTCTAGCGTTTATTCCAAAATCTGCCTTCCGATTTTGAGGACACAATTTATCTCCTCCGGCGGATATCTGTATTCTCGTGGTCGTGTATCAGGAGGACAGAGACTAATTTAAGGACAGGTGTGGTCATTGATATGAGGGTGTATTAAGCCGTACCTGTAAACTTGATGGGGTGTTGATGGGGATCGATCTCGTCGGGAGTGAGATGTTGATTAAGTTAAGAGTGGTGAATCAATGCATCGTGGGCCAATTTGATCGGAATAGTGAAATTTGGCTGAAATTGGCTTAGGGAGAATGTTTCACTTCAAGGTTTGTAGAGGACATTACGAAAAGGTGTTCGGTCTTTGTCCTCCGTTAGCGTCGTCGATCCTCTACCGTGTTTTCAAATGATAGAAATTGGACTTATAGAGCAAAAATGTCTTGTACTAGGAATATCTAAGCTATGATCGGTGGAAAAGAGGGTGCGAAGGCTTGGCGAGGGTGACGGGCTCTACTTAGGTGTCGTCTGTCGCATATGTAGCGAAGATATAACCCTCCTCTCCTATACACTATTTGATTCTATATCCATATTATAGGAAGTAGTAACATTCAAGTATTTTATCATCTATTACTTACATGCGTAAATAATATACAGAATTCTCAGTCTACATACAAATTTCAGTCATAATTAGTACCCCAGGAACTGACAAAATAATTGTGGAATTGCTCAAGGCATGCTAGACAGTAATTGGAATGCATATGAGAAACATAGTCCAAGCGTCTCTAGATCATGGAAACTTTCCAACAGCGTTCTGAGCCGCAGAAGTAGTCCTGCTCCCAAAGCCAGGACGAGATATATCCACTCCTAAGGGGTGGCGACCTACCCCTCTCTCTTGCCTAGGTTAACGATTAGAACTCATCGCAGCCAAAAGAATGGCGTGGTCAGTCATCGAGCACCAATTAGTTCCCCAACAACTTTTTGGTGCACTACTTGTACGGTCAGCTTTCGATCTTGTTTCTTGTGTTATTGACGATGTCGAGGCAACAATGAGGAATAACAAAATCACAGTCATAGTCAAAATGGACGTACAGGGAGCATTTGATGCAGTACTTCACAAGCGCCTATTGCGTAGAATGCGGGACCAGGAGTGGCCGAATTGAATTTTTATTTATCTTTATTTAACGTCTGGCGGATCACGCGTCAAGCGAGTAACCCTATTAAGTCCCTACTGAGACAAAAGACGCCGACCGAATTGAATTGAATTGAATACATTACGTATCAGGCTTATGCCCTACACCCAATAGGCGTGATACGGGTCTGTGCTCCCTGGGGCCACACTACAACCTAGGTACACAGTTTGTTTCTCAGAAACTATTTGTAGAAAACATAGATAATTAATTAAATTTCGATAAAAAAACGCCCTGCGCCTTTTCTCCTTCCTCGTGGCCCTTAGTCCTGTGGAAAATTTCCTCCGGCAGGACTTAATCCTCCCGGTTTGCGCTCTGCATCTCGTAACACTTAGTTACTGTTAAGAACTGGAGAAATTTACCCCCTCCCTTTTCTGCCAGCATCTCCCGTCCACTCGGTGGTGGTTCATGCTTCTCTTCTCTCCAGTGCCGTAGAGCAATCCGACATTCGGCAAAATGCCAGGGACGTTTCTCTCTTCCGCAAACGCATTTGCAGTTTTCCCATTCGTGGCCAAACCTTTCATGGTAGTTCCTAAAATCACCATGTCCCGTCCTCGCTGCGACCAAGTGGTGATGCGCCCACCTCGGAAGTGCTAGCTCTGGTGGACGTTTTCGTTTCATTCGGAGATCCAACTCCTCATAGCGGCTAGGTCTATGTTTTAGCCACCAGGATTCCACCGCTTCTTCACACCTTTGCCTGACAAACCGGTTGAGGGCTGCGAAGGTGTATTTAAGTCCGTCCTTAATTGTTGAGGGAGCTGTAGTCGTTTCAGCCAGGAGTGGCCGAAGATTCTATATAGATTTGTTGATTCTTTTCTGACCCGGCGTAGGATTCGTGTTAGTCATCGGGATGGAATAACGGGCGACAAAATCGTCGAGTGCGGTGTCTCCCAGGGATCACCACTTTCACTAATCCTTTTACTCCTATATATTTCCGTTTTATTACAAAACGGAAAAGGAATAATATTCGGATATGCTGACAATATCGCCAACCTCAGCACATGACGCACTGCTGCCGAAGCTATTTCATCGGCCCAGAGAGAAGAAGAAAGACTCGTCCAACTGGTAGAAGATCACAAGATAAACTTTGACTCAGCCAAGTCCAAGCTCATAATAAGTGGTGGGACAAATAAAAAACTGAACACTTCAGGTGAAATGTCTCAATATCTGCCCATTCCTACGTCTGAGATGGCTTGGAGTATAGCTTTATTCCCAGCTGAAATTCAAGCAGCACGTACACGCATAGTGCAGAAAAGCTTAACGTGTAACATAGTTTGTACGGCGGATTAATACCGTACAGTGCGGTGTAGCACCGGGACCGGTGGTTAAAGCTGTCCACGCCTGTATCCTTAGTACGTTACTGTATGGAGCAGAGGCATGGTGTCCAGGCCTAGCCCGTATTACCAATCGGCGAGACAAAAAATGTTAGCATCGGCGTTGGCTGGCAAACTGATCTATTGGAAAAAACACTTGTAAAGGCAGTTTGAGCAGCACTGCCTGCGTGGCGTACAACCCCAAATCTAGCTCTTCGAAGAGAGTCAGTAATCCCACCAGCAGTAATCTTTTTGAGCCAGAGGCAACTTCGGTCAGCAGCACGTTTTCAAAGACTGGACATATGGCACGTTTTAGCACTAAGATCTTGGGAAGTACCAAAATATTTTACACGGCGCCTCGAACAACGAGCAGGCCAGAAAGCCCAACCAATCACTGCTCCAGAGCGTTATCTTACACGACTTCAGAACAGTGCTCTAAATGTATTGATCGCTGAAGGTCTCGGGAATCTTTCATATCCGAAGACCTATCCGGCCAGGATCCCACCAGGTCTTGATAGGAAAAATCAATCGGATTGTGCAGAGGCATGAATAGAAAATCTCTCGCCGGAGACTGTATACGTTGGAAAATATACTCTGTACGATATTATATGGATATATGTGATGGTGTAAAGAAGACTAGATAATTTACAACCATGAGAACATTGAACTCATATATACATCTAAGGGAGAAATTCTCGCTAATCTCATGTGCCTGTCAAACCTAGTGATGACCAGCCACCTCTCATCTACCATGATGAGCCAAGGTACACTGTAGTACGTAAATATCCAAACATATATGCGACAGTAGGCGCGATTAGCGCACTCGGGACATGTGTAGAGAGATTCGATCTTGTCGGGAACCTGAGACAAAACAGATAATAGTTGAGTCCTGAATTCGAGAGTCAGAATTTCCGACAGTATGCGCCTATTCAGACGGCTCTTCAAACGGTCCAGCAAGATCTGCATGAGGATACGCCTTGTACAAAGGAAATAGGCTGATTGGAAGCGATACTGAAATGATTCTGGGAGTAGAAGTGTACGATGCAGAAATTTTAGGCGCTTAGAAAGCCTTTGAAGCAGCTGTAATATTGGCAGGAAAGCTCCCTATTGAGGTACTCCTCGATAATTCTGAAGCCATCCACTCCCTCAGAATAGGCCGAAGCAAGTCGTCTCAAACCACAGTCGACCTATTTATATCTCTGTTACGATTGAACGGGTTAGTAGAGACATGATGGATTGCAGGCCACTCCGAAATTATTGGGAACATTCATGCCGATAAACTAGCGAAATCAGCTCTGAAGGATCTTTCAGTTTTCTCATATGCAATCTTTACATCAAGGTCAAATCAGAGACAAAGATACAATTTGCAGCGTTAAGCCAATACTTTAGAGACCGGGGCGAGGAGACTGTCGAATCTTGGTGGCGAGGAGATAGATCTAGTCGGCACAAAGACCTGGACTTATTGATAAAACGAAAATGACCGGCTGAGCTAGCCCTTCCAAGATGGGTGTATCATCGTCTGATAGCAATTATGAATGATCATGGAAACCTCTCCAAGTATCATGGAAGTTTCACCATGAAAGAATAGACTACAGGTGCAAATATGGCTGACAAAAACGCCCGGGAGACTTCTTGGAATGCCGGATAGCGCTAAAACAATGGCGAAAATCAATAAACGAAACAGCATCAAGTGGACGGATACTGTGGGGAGAAGAGGG